ATTGGGACAGGGCACAGAGTGGCTTTCATTGCTTCCTCCTCCAGCATCAAACAGTTATGTGAATTCGCAGTGATATTCAATGGTATCAAAACTGAGAAGTAGCACTCTTAATTTCCAAGGTAAATATACATTTGTGGCATTTCTTTCTCGGTATGCTTTCATTATTTCCAAATTTGCTTGCCCTACATATTTTCCTTCTCGACGAGTACCAGGGCTAGAATGCTCATGTGGTGCAATATTAATTTTTTCTAGAAGAAAGTATAAATAATTTCAATTAATTGTTTAAGTAAGGTAAGAGAAATTGAATTCTATTAGATTATGAATAAGTATTGAAATATAAGGAAATAATATTTGAAAATTTTGATTTAAACTTGAGAACAGGATATTTATGCTTCATTTTTTGGTGACTGGCAACTAAATAGTTCTTGGTGGCCTCAGTGGTTTTCAGTTTGGTAAACTTTTCTAATCATTCCTCTTTCTTCTTGTAAAGAACATTTATAGCAGCCTGATTTAGAATATAAGGAGAGGAGACAGCTTGCAGGTCTGGATATTGGAAAAGAAAATTGAAAACTTTAACATTTTTTACTTGCCTAATTCAATTATTTTCTTCATGATTGAAATGGAGCATTTTCTAGCATAAGGTGTTATGATTTGAATTTTGAAGCTTTTAATGGTTGAGACTTGAGAGTAAACTTGGGTAACTGTGAAGCTATTGAAATGTTAATGTTGATGGTTCTCTTCTTAGACCTGTGCCCTCCTTTGTCCTTTTCCAAGATTTAATAATTGATCCATTCTTAGCCTAGGCAAGGTCGTCTTGTTGTGATAGAAATGAACAAGAACAAAAGGCCTGATATTTTTTCATCAGCATTTACACTTTTGGCACACTAAATATGCATTCATTTCTATCTGCAGTATTCCTTTAGATGCAGTGTTTGAAGAGGGTAGCCTTCTCGAGACTGCTTTCAATGTTTGGAAGGACCAAGAATATTGTGGAGGGATCAAGGTGGCTCTCACTTTTACTGCTGAGGAAGTGCTAAAATCTATTTCACTATTATTTTTCTTCATGTTTAGATTCCTAGCTTTCTCCCTATTCAAATATACCACTAACTTCTGGTTGCAGAGAGATGGCGACCAGGGTTACAATGTGCAAAGAATGAGTAGGGAATTTTAAAGTGAAGGAAGGGTTTACATATTTCTCAGGTCCAGAATTTACTTTTATGGCGAAAAATAAGCAGTTTTGGGTAACTTTGAGAATTTTAGTAACTGTTTTTTCTGGTGTGATGATCTGATGGTGTTGTGCCGTCTGTTTTAGTGCTTTTCTCCCTTTTGATGTAAACTGCATTAAGCTTAAACTATTATTTTTTAGAGTAAATACCCTTTTTAGCCCCTGGCAATATCCACGAAGCCCTTTTCAGTCCCTAGCAATAAAAAATGGACAAATTGGTCCCTGAAATAACAAAAAAGAGGCCACGTTCATCCTTTCGTTAACTCTCACCTAACGGCCCAACTAACGGTGCACTGTTGGCACTTTAGCCCCTGGCAATATCCACAAAGCCCTTTTCAGTCCCTAGCAATAAAAAAAGGACAAATTGGTCCCTGAAATAACAAAAAAGAGGCCACGTTCATCCTTCTGTTAACTCTCACCTAACGGCCCAACTAACGGTGCACTGTTGGCACGTTAGTTTGCTGACGCGGCTTGGATGTGGGACACCGTGGAAGACGAGACGACGACGTTTTGGTCCCTGTCAAAACCACGAGGGCCATTTTGGTCCCTGTCAAAATGCACGAGGACGTTTTTAGTCCCTGACAAAAAGCACGGGGCCCTTATTGGTCCCTAACCAGAGAAAAATAGGCACATGACTTCATTGCTTTTCTATGCAGTCCAATTTTGCAAAACAGAAGCGCATTACATCAGAAACAGGAGTGCAATCTAATTTTGCAAAACAGGAACATGACATTAAATTGGATTTGTATGCAGTCCAATTTGTTAAACCAGAAGACATGGATGTACAAGAACTACAACTACGTATATTAGTTAAAAAATATCAAAAATGGTAAACTTAAACATTCATCAACCCTGTGAAACATAATAGCTGGAACATGATTTGAGTATCATTATATTTGAAGATGTGGATGCACAGTAGTGCATTACAAAATAAAGTCAACTGCCAAGAATTAAAAGAAAGGCCTCTAATACAATATGGCCAGAATTTACAAAAAAAACATTGACATAATAAGGCCTCCAAATACATAATGGCCAGAATTTTCAAAAAAAGTCAGTCACATAATAATAAACCCTTATCAGTTGGCTCATGCACTACTCCCAGGTCATATACAACAGCAGGTCATTTTCTTGAGGCAGGCCTTGGTGGCCTAAAACCAGGTGTGCTCATGAAGGCCAATAATCTGCTTCGTGTGCCACTGGTTGTTGCATTCATTGTTTCATTACTCAACAACTCATTTGCCTGTTGTGGATTTGATGGAGGTGGGCTGCTTCCTCTCAAGTTGCCTTCATGTGGCTGAGAATTACTAACTGTTGCAGTCCAGTCAACTGCCATGCATTGCAATTATCAACAATCATTTACCTGGCTTCTTCTCTGATTTTTGTCTGTATTTAAATATCAACAATCATGCAATTATCTTTTATAGAAAAATAAATAGTATAATTGTAATGCTACACTACTGAAGATATTGTTTGTAAATCGCATAACGCTATGTCTTATACATACTAAGAGAATTAAAGCAGTTCATAGTATTCTAGCGATCGTAAAAGCTGTTTGCAAGAGCCAAGAATCCCTTTTAACAAAGTGGGAAGCTTAATTAGCATTGAAAAAGAAATGAATAATCGTTAATAAGGTCGAAACTTCAGTTAGAAACACAAACTTCATTGAAATAAAATGCCAAGAAGGAGTATTTTACTTTGTGATGAAATTTAGTTTAATTACTTTGTGATGAACAAATGAATTGCACTCCTGTTTCTGATGTAATGCACTTCTGTTTTGCAAAATTGGACTGCATAGAAAAGCAATGAAGTCATGTGCCTATTTTTCTCTGGTTAGGGACCAATAAAGGCCCCGTGCTTTTTGTCAGGGACTAAAAACGTCCTCGTGCATTTTGACAGGGACCAAAATGGCCCTCGTGGTTTTGACAGGGACCAAAACGTCGTCGTCTCGTCTTCCACGGTGTCCCACATCCAAGCCGCGTCAGCAAACTAACGTGCCAACAGTGCACCGTTAGTTGGGCCGTTAGGTGAGAGTTAACAGAAGGATGAACGTGGCCTCTTTTTTGTTATTTCAGGGACCAATTTGTCCCTTTTTTATTGCTAGGGACTGAAAAGAGTTTCGTGGATATTTTCAGGGACTAAAAAAGGTATTTACTCTATTTTTATGCACTTTTTTATTACTACTACTACTATATTATTATTAGGAAATGTTGTTGGAATTCACTTAAATATGGAAATGTGATTATGAAGTGAATCAAGATATTTTAAATTGTTTCAGCTTAACCCGCGGCTGAGTTAATGAATATGTTTGATAGAGAAAGTTTTGTTGTCTTTATAGTCCTAACGACACTTATAAAATTACGTCAAAATCAAATAATTCCCTAAATTGGTGAAATTCCACGTCGTTACTCATGATCATGAATGAATGAGGTTGGACCCAATATATGATCGACAGCAATTTTATTCTCAAAATATTTCATCAACTTAACTAAGGATTGACTTTATATTGTAAAATATTATGCCAGGTGCATGTGTAGTTTTGATTATTCAGGAAAAAAAAAAAAACTCAGTTGTTGTTTATTGTATGAGAATATATAAAAGAAGTGTGAAAAGAAAACCATGATTATGTAATGTGAAACAAATCCAAGCATTACCTAGTTCAGCTTCCATCTGGTTCAGGCATCCCTAGTGTTTGACAAGAAAGGTTCCAGTTGGTGACGACACTAACCATAGTTGCAGCAAAAACCCACGGGGAAGTGGTAACTAGTGCAGTGCAGTGCCAAAAACTGAGTCAGATACACTTATCTGAAACGAACATCGTTTGGTGCAAAGTAACAACGTGACAATGTTTGTTTCCTCTTATTTTACTTCACCAAGTCCTAAGAGAACCAAAGAAAGAGACAAATAACAGAGAAGAGAAAAAGTAAACGAAAGCCTTTTATATTATATGTTTTAATATATGTCATACCAAGGCTGCAACAAATCATCTTCACAAGTACTATTAAATAAATACCTGGATCAACTAGCAGGAGGTTGTTCCAGCTTAATTAGTGATTTCGAATTCGAATTTTGATAAGCATCTGTGTTAAAAATTGGTATAAAATAGTAGAAATATGTAATAAAATAAAAAAAATAAAAAATCATCTTCACAAGCAATGAGAATTCTAACTCTCTTTCATCATCCCTCACATTCACATGTCACTAATGACTTTTTCAAAACTCTTCACCTTCACAACTCTCCCGTTGGTATTTTCTCAAATTCATTCCTCTTTGTTCTTCATTTCTCTTCCCCATGATCAACAAGCTCTCAAAAATGCATGCTTGGGCGTTGACCTTTGAATGATAAATCTGCTTCAAACAGGTAATAGTATTACTACTCTTTCTGGGTACCCCTTTTAATTGCTTTTAAGATTCCCCCATCTCCATTATCTTATTCCTGTCTTATAGTTCTGAAAAGTTGAACTCTTCATCTGCAAAAAAATTGCATCCAATTGAGATCTGGTTAAGAATTAATATGGACTATCATTGCAAGGGAAAGAGAATACTAGTACTCTTATGTTGCATTTAAGTTCTATCTGGCTTTGTCACTGCTGTATGTATAGTATTTGGCTTTTTCATACCGCACTAGTTACTTAATGTTTTTGTAATTTACATTCTTCCCTTTCAAGTTTCAAGTTGAATTGAATCATTTGATTTTAAAATTGCTGGTATGATACACAAATATATGTATTGATTATTTTGCTAGTTTCATAAAAATTTGCAGAATTATCAAGGAAACATGGCAAATTTTGAAAATGATAAGCTTCCGATGCTGTCAGACACAGATTCACAACCATATTATGAACCCTCGGGTTCTAAATTCAAAAAGCTTCTATCCAGGACAAAAAGTGCACAAATTTCTATTCCTATGAGCTCCTTGGAGTCATATGAGAGAGAAACTGGTCACGTGGGACATACTGGTCCTCTTTGGAGTGAGAGAAAAAATCCCTATATGCAGATGAGTGGTCCACTATATGCTACCACTGGAAATGGAAATCTTTTGCAGCAGAGTTCAGTTGTAGCAGGAAACAAAGCAGAGGAGAGAAAGACAGAAAATGTTGCTACGTTCCATGGCACAGGTTCAAACTACTGGAATAATAACTATGATACAAAAAATGAACACTTAATGAGGTCTGGACAACTGGGAATTTGTGATGATCCTTATTGTACTACTTGCCCTACTTCCTTCAAGGCTTCTCAGCTAAGAAATCCAAAACCTTCAACTAAATTTGATCCCAAGGTGCCTTGAATTATTTAATACATAGTTAAAATAATTTATTCTAGATGTATTTTCATGCGATAGATCTTTAATCTGACCAAGGTTAGGAGTTTACTACATATGCATAAATATGAAAATTATAGGCAACATGCTAATCACATAAGTATAATTCAATCAGATAATAATTTATAGATATTTGAATACTTGATTGCATGATATTATACTTATGTGATTTGCAAGTAACCTATGCCATTGACAATTTTGTTAGAGATATATAAAACCATTAATGTAGCCTCTCCCAACAGCTTAAGTTTTTGGGTTGAATTGGTTCTTTATATAGTATCAGAGCCTCTGTGTCCATTATCCACCCTTCAAGCCCAATGGACTCTCATGTGAGGGGGCATGTTAGAGATATATAAAACCATTATTATAGCCTCATACAACATCTTAAGCTTTTGGGTCCTTTTCCATTTCCTTTTTGTACATATTTATCATCTACTATGACTTTCACATAATTCAATGTGCTTCTTGTTCATATTTTTTATGTTTACAGTTCCACAATGCTCTATACGGGGATGCAAAGGGTTTTGCAAGAAAATTCTTTTCTTTCTGCTCTTCTTTTGGTCCTGGAGTTATGAACCCTCACACTAAATTTGTACAACATTGGAACAAGGGTTTGGCCATTTTTTGCTTGGTTGCTATTTTTGTGGATCCATTATTTTTCTTCTTACTCTATGTGCAGCAGGTATGATTATTTTCCTTTTATTTAATTACAAAATCTTGCAAGTTCTAGTCACTTGTCTTTCTCTGTTACTATTTTCATATTTACATTACTATTTCTCCTGTTTATTGTATGCAGGATTATAATTGTATTGTTATCAACTGGAATTTGACAAAAGCACTTGTCATAGTTAGAAGCTTGAATGATTTTATATATTTCTTTAACATTCTTCTCCAGGTAACTTCTCAATAACTACCTTTAAAAATGCCCCTACCCCACTCTTTTCCCCCTGCTTTTAATTTTTGCAAATCCATATATTCATAGAATGGTACTGTTGTTAGTTTGAAAAATATTTTCAAGCTCCTTCCTTGACAGCAAGAGTTTCGTTTTTTGGTGAAGAGCATTTATCATTTACTGACAATGAGCCATGTAGTGTCTACTATCTTATGTAGCTATACAGATTAGACTGGAAGAAAATAAAATCGAAATGATTCACAGATGATAAATAGATTGGGATAAGGATAAAACTATATCTATAGTTTTAAGTAGTGTTGTATTCTGTACTGATGTGTATCTTGCTTTATTATTGTTTAGTAGTTCAGGTCAAAAGGTAAAAAAAGAGAGTGAATGTGTCCTGAATCTTATATATGGTTGTTAAGGTTTTAAGTGTAGGTTGCTGCCTTTTCATAATTTAAGACTTAAATAACTCTACCAAGTTGCCTCTTTGCAGTTTAGGTTGGCTTACGTTTCTCCTGAGTCAAGGGTGGTTGGTGCTGGAGATTTAGTTGATCAACCAAAGCAAATTGCTCTTCATTACCTGAAGGGTTATTTTCTTATTGACTTGTTTATTGTATTTCCTCTTCCTCAGGTAAATTTCTTCCTATTTACCTTTCTTCATTTTGGAAACTTTTTGTTTTTGGAGCAATGTGGATGCTTAACAACTTTCATGTTGTGTTATAGTAATGCTCAACTCAGTAGATTTTTGGTGTCTTGTTTCTATCGTTATTGTTAGAGGAATATAAAAATCATCAATGTAGCCTCACCTAACAGTTTAAGTTTTTGGGTTGAATTAGTTCTTTACATGATATTAGAGCCTCGGGGTCACAGGTTCGATCCTCACCGCCCCCATTTAATTTAGAAATAATTAAGTCTTGTGGAGTTTCTTAGCATAGGTGAGCCTATGCATTATCCACCATTCAAGCCTAGTGGGCTCTTGTGTAAGAAGGTGTGTTAGAGTGTTAGAGATATATAAAATCATTAAAGAGGCCTTCACTTAACAGCTTAAGTTTTTTGGTTGAAATGGTTCTTTACATAGAACAAAATAAAAATCATTAATGTAGTCTCACCTAATAGCTTAAGCTTTTAGGTTGAATTGGTTCTTTATATATACCTTTACAAAGTGCTTCTTGCTCTATTCCATCATGTTTAAGTTTGACCTGAACGAAAATGGTTTTTCCTTTTGGTGTGTCATTCTGAGGAATAAAATATCTGTGGACATGACATGTGCTTGAGAACAAGTTGGTGGCAGTGCAAGGAAAGGTTTTCAATCTGTAAAAGAAGATAGAGACCACTATTTTATGTGTCATTCTCCTTGTCATGACATATATAGTGAAATTTGTGCAGATAATGTTATTGCTTGTACTACCAAAATCCTTGGGAGGAGCAAATTATGCTAAGAATCTTCTGCGTGCAGCAATCCTAGTGCAATATATTCCCAGACTATTCAGGTTTCTTCCTCTACTAATTGGCCAGTCTCCAACAGGATTCATATTTGAGTCAGCATGGGCAAATTTCGTTATAAATCTTCTCATTTTCATACTAGCTGGCCATGTTGTAGGCTCTTGCTGGTACCTCTTTGCTCTACAGGTGAGTGAAAATAGCATTTAGTACTAGTTTTTCACAAATACCAAATTTCTTCCTCACTAAATTTCATGATGTGCTGTAAATTCTCATCTTCCATTCAAGAGGTGGCAAGCTCCCATTATTTTTTTGTGTAGCATAAGCTACAAATTGCTTGCCTTCCCTCAGACCCTGCTAAGAACAAAAGGAAAAGGCATAAGAAATAATATTTGATTCACTTGAGTGCATATTTCCATGTGGTTGTATATATTATAATACTATGTAATGATTTTTATATGCAAGATGAAATGCTTTGTCAATATGATAATTTTTTTTTGGGTATAAACCATTCGATATCCGTTGGTCATCGGAATTTAGATTGGAGTCGGGTAGGATCACAAAGGTGGCAAAATTCTCCTTACCAAGTTTTAACACAACAATATATCCAGAACTCGAACTCGAGGCCATTAGCTGGAACAACTCTCCACCAGTTGATCCACGTGCTTGGTGTCAATATGATAATATTATGTCCTCCGAAATCTTATCCTTCAAGCTTTTGCTGCAATATTAGTAATGAAATTCAACTATCAAAGTTGTTTCCTTGGATGCTTTATAGATGAGTGGTCCAATTAGAATCTGGAATTTAATTAAGTAAATGAAGGTTAACATTCATTTTACTGACTTTCTCCTTTCCTCACTCTTCCTTCTTCCAGAGGGTTAATCAATGTTTGAGAAATGCATGCCATAGTTCTACTATACCTGGATGCCTGAACCTCATTGATTGCGGACATGGTTATCATGGAAACAATCAGCCTGGCCTAACATCAGAGCAGTGGAACAATAATACAGATGCTATTGCTTGTTGGAATTACCCTTCCAATGGTACTTTTGTATATGGGATCTATGCCAATGCTGTACCTCTTACTATACGAACAGACATGGTGGCCAAATACGTGTATTCTCTATTTTGGGGGTTCCTGGTATGCATTTCATTCTTATTTTCTTGTTCCTTCATTAGTAATTTTGTCCATATATAGTGAGGATCAGATGAGACTGGTGTAAAATCTGATGCAGTTACAAATATAACTATTCTTTTGTTTATCTAGCATAAATTTGAGAAAATTCAAATACAAAATTTGATTTACTGTCTTTGCTTAAATACAAAATCAGAATAAGATAGGAAACATTAGAACCAAGATGAAGGTTACTTTTTCAACTCTTGCAAGAAAACCAAGCACTGTGGAAACCATATTAGATTGAAGTTATCCTTACAATAAGATATTTTAAAAATGGAGAAGACAAGGCTTGAAATCCTGGCAAGTTAATCATGGGAGCCCTATTACCATGTCAAGTGTCATTTGTCAATGCCCAACTAGTACATAAACTCCTTAAAACTAAAGCTGTCAAGTAAATGAACATGAATGGTTTAATATCTCTAACAGTTATACCTTGTGTGATCTTTATACAGCAAATCAGTACTCTGGCTGGTAATCTATTGCCTAGCAATTTTGTGTGGGAAGTGCTTTTTACTATAGCCATCACGGCATTAGGACTCTTGCTTTTTGCACTTCTCATTGGAAACGTACAGAACTTTCTTCAAGGTCTTGGACGGAGGTAGAACTTATCTAATGATCCAAGTTTTAAGTAAACTTTTATGGTCAAGTTCTAATGCGTTTAGTCTTGTAATAAATGATTTATTTTCTTCCATCCCTTTTACAGGAGTCAAGAAATGCAACTTAGAAGCCGCGATTTTGAGCGATGGATGAGCCATCGTCGCTTATCAGAAAATCTAAGAAGGTACAAAATTTTATGATTCTTTTCATGAAAGATATCCACATTGCCAACAATATATGTGAGCAATTTACTATTCCTAGACACCAGTACTGTTTTACATTACAAGACTGAATCAACTTAGCAACTTCTGAATACTTGCTTTAGATATTCAAGAGGCAATAATTTGGATTTTCTTGTTGTGTCTATTTATTCTGTCTGCAAATAAATATGATTAATCACTCCGTACATTATTGTACACATAACCCAGCAACATATGAAAAATAGCTGTTGAGAACATTTTATTGGGTATCCTGTTGAATTAAGTTCCTAGCACTAACAATGGTAGTGATATAGACTATGTACATATATGAAGATGTACTAAATATTCTATTCTATAATATAGCATGTCTATAGGACTGAATTTAAAGAAATTTTATGTTACACAATTTATCATTTTTATCTAGGTATTATGTCATATGAAATAATGGATTAAACATAATGTGCAAGTGATAAATATGTTTGTCATGCAGGAGAGTAAGACAGGCTGAACGGTATACTTGGGCTGCAACAAGGGGAGTAAATGAAGAAATGCTTATGGAGAATTTGTCAGAAGATCTCCAGAGAGATATAAGACGTCATCTCTTCAAATTTGTTAAGAAAGTATGCACTAGAATTTGTGGCATGAACTAGTTATAATTATGCCAATTCATCATGCTTAGTCTTTAAGTGGATCATAATTATGTGGTTTAGATGATAGGTGAACATCAGAATCTCAGCCACCTTGATTCATTTAAAATTCTGTTTCTCTTAGGTCTCTACTTGTAACCTGCTAGAATTGGATACAAGTTTAAATGAGAAAATAATTGTGAAGGCAAAGCTATATGCATCTTCATCACAAAACTAAACAATGATATTAAAAGTCAAAGTATGTCAAAAAAATTCTGAAAGTTCTCTGTAATGATAAACCACTTCCCATTAAACTCCGATTAGCAAGGGTAGGGATGAAGGCAAACCTTATACCAGGCTTACCTTTGTATATTTGCAAAGAAACTATATTTTGAATTTGAACTTGTGACCTTTCTGTTTGTTATGGCTTATACTTCGCATTTAGATGAGGACCCTTGTTGGCCTGGTACTGTTGTGGGCCTCCGATTCATTGATGACTCATTGCTGAGTCATTGTATTTATCTTTTTCTTAGTAATTTGGGTTTGAATCCATGAATAGCTACTGTTAGGGTTTTCTAAATACTATTTATATTCCCTTATTAACCGAGTGACCTTTAACGAGTGTGGTGAGGTGAATATAGTACAGACAAGTTAGACGTAGTCTACATTGGATGGATCAGGGTAAATCTGTGTGTGAATTTCTCTTCCTTTTCTTATTTTGTTTTCCGAATGGTGTGTGTTGTGCGATTGTCGATTTCCAACACTTTCAGTCACAAATGATCAGTTTTATCACTGTTCCAGACTCACCCTAAAGTTCCTGTAATGATAATGATTTAATACTTTTATTATCACTTTGTACCAATTTGTGTCCACATTCTGAGGATCTAAGATGTCTGCAGGTTCGAATTTTTTCACTGATGGATGAGCCTATCTTGGATGCCATTTGTGAGAGACTAAGACAAACGACATACATCCAAGGAAGCAGAATTCTGAGTCTTGGTGGTCTGGTAGAGAAGATGGTATTTGTGGTACGTGGGAAAATGGAGAGCATAGGAGAAGATGGAACTAGAGTTCCCTTATCAGAAGGTGATGCATGTGGAGAAGAACTTCTGACATGGTATCTTGAACATTCTTCTGTCAGCACAGGTATACCAATACTTGATGCAATGACAAGATGCATGTTAAACTAAATATGCTAAAGTAGAAGTCAGCATGAGTTGGAATAATCTGCATGGTTCATCAATTTGGTTTCTCATGCAGATGGTAGAAAAGTAAGGCTTCCAGGACAAAGGTTGCTTAGCAGCAGGACAGTAAGGTGCTTAACAAATGTGGAGGCCCTTTCACTCAGAGCTGCAGACCTTGAAGAAATCACAATCCTTTTCACAAGATTCTTGAGGAATCCACGTGTTCAAGGAGCCATAAGGTCATTTCCCTTGTCTTGTATCTTGATTTATGGTTCAGCATACCCTTTTATGATGTACAAAAAATTAATGAAAATAACTAATGATACTAGGTTTGTCCCCATTTTAATTTTTTTTATTACGTAGTCATTTTTTAATCTATGTACAAATCTGTTTCACTTCTCAAATAATATATCAATCTGCCTCTATTTGATAGAAATTTGACTGATACTTATTCAAGTAAATAATTTACCACGGATTAGGGTTTGGTCAAATTTTTAGTCAAACAAAAACAGATTGATATATAATTTGAAAAATGAATAAATTGGTATATAGTTTGGAAAGAGGAATAAAGTAGTTAAAAAATTTAAAATAAGGACAAAATGATCCGTTGATCAGGCACCGGCACATATATAAATTATTTCATGTTAAAATTTCACATTTGACTTTGTGTCTATCTGTTTATGTTTATATAGGAATGCACAAATTTTGATAGACGCTGACTATTTAATGTATGTGAAGAATGAGATATATTGAAAGATTTTAACACGAGAGGACCATTCACGTTTTCACTCATAGAAAGCTCAATGTCCATTTTCAAATCCATGGCTGAACTAATGATTTGATGATTGTGTTATTTAAGGTATGAATCACATTATTGGAGATCCCTAGCGGCAACCAGGATTCAGGTTGCATGGAGATACAGGAATAAACGTCTAAATCGTGCTGATTCCTCACTATCAGATTAAACATTTGAGGTCATATATGGGTTGCACTGCTATGTCTGAATTTTGGGACACACTTTGTACTCAATCCAACAGAATATCATAGATTCACCAACATGTTACCCACCTACAAAGTTGTCCTTTTTGTAATTAAACAATAATGGGAAAATTACTTCTACCTCCCCAGTTCACTCTCTATTTACACTTTTGATTACCCATCATTTTTTAGAAATGGATATTACCTACCTTATTAGGTATCCCTACGGAAATTTAACCACATTTGAAAAAGTGGTAATACTTTTTTCATTTTACATGAGATAAGGACTATTTCCTACCGAGAGACTAAATGAGGAGAGAAAAAAAAAATGAAATGAGAGAAAAAATTTGCAATGGAATCCATATCTATGTGCAGAAATATTTTGATCTTTTATGTAAAAGGAGATACATTAACCCCTTTGAAAAATATATAAAATGTCAATTTTTTTAGTCCACGAATCAGAAATACTGACTTCCATTATTGTTCCTCTTTTTCCGAGTATATCTTCACGTCTACACCAACAAAGGTGGGCACGGTTGGCTCAGGATTTGGTCTATACCTTACAAGGGCGTGGGTTCAAACATCATGGCCTATGTGAAAACTTTATCGGTGGATGATATATAATCCTTCTTAAAATCATCAAAGAGATTGGTGGGTCTTCTCTGATCCTAATGTGATATCGATCTCTAATCCCGCTTAACTTTTCATTATAAAAAAAATCTTCACATCTACAAGAATAGGTATTACTTTATTAAACGTAAGAAAAAGTTAAACTCATGTAACATTAATCAAGGGTGAGTTGGATAAATAAAGTCAAATGTGTTATTTCCCCCCTCCATTTTTAGTAAATAATATATTGAATCTTTGATATTAGGGAAGTTGGGTGGTTACAAATATAAGGAGGGGGGTCGCAACAAGTATGCATAACGTAGAAAATTAATGCAACATCTCTGCATGCATGGAGATGCAAGTGTAGTCGAGTCAATGCATAAAAATTTTCCTTCATGACCAACTTTTCAAAACATGGTATAAATATTGCGTAATCTCATATGACCTTTGCAAGAGGTGTAAATTCACATAACACCTTACAAGTTATCATATTTATGTTTGTGCCACAATATATGGGTTATATCAATGAGAAATCTTTTTCTTATGTTGATGTAGATAAATTATCTTATATTAGTGAAATAAAATAATAAAAGGAACCCACAAATGATTGGAGAAAAATAAAAGTGAGATCCACATTTGTTATGTGTGTGTAGGAAAATGAATTATCTCATGTTGAATGAGATAAATATAACCCTATATCAATTCAACTAGTTATATTAAGTGAAAGTTATATCAGTAAATGTATATATTATATTTCTAGGATATTCTCTCGTACAAGAATTCTTTTTTTAAGGCTTTAAAATTGAAATGTGAATAATATACATGGCATTAGAATATTTTGTGCTGATTTTAACTTGATTTTTTATTTTTATTAAAAAATGGGATGATGATAATCCTACTCGTGACATTTTAATCTCCAACTTCTTATTTATAGAAACTCTGATATTATGCAAAGTATGAATTTAATTGAAAAATTTAAATTATTAAGTGAATGCTACATTAAAAATACCTTTCCAAACATAATCTCATTTTAGCAAATTATTATTTATATTAATCAAAATATTAGTTTTATTTTTTTGCTGAATATCAAAGTATTAGTTTTTAACAAATACCAAATTGGTTAAAAAGCCTGTATGAATGAAAAATGACGAAAATATCCCGTAATTGGGTTGGAAATGAAACAACGTGGCGAGCACTATACATAACTGATATCATATAGATTTGTATTAGTATAACCGTTAAGAGGAAGATGATGATATTAATATAAAGATAATACAAAACCATGATTTTTCATTTGGTCACAGGTCACATCAAAGTTATCCAAGCGTTACCTAGTACGGTTTCCATCTGGTTCAGGCATTTATACTGTTTGACCCGAAACCTTACTCTAATATTAAAGGGTATATTGTTAGTGATTTAAAAGAATACAAGTTATATTTTTTAGTGACTTACATAAAGTATGATCGGTTATATTTTGTGTAAATTTAAATTTTTTTTACTTTTTTACTTTATACGTAAGCGATGTTACTACGGAGAGAGAAAAAAAACAACTTTTAAATTTACACAAAATAAGACCGGTTATGCTTTATATAAATTACCTGCAAAAGTTTATATTCTTTAAAATAATTTTTTTTTTTCAATATTAAAACTGGGGAAATGTTATAATATAATATCCACATAGCCATATACGTACAATTGAGAAGTGTTTTCTGAACAGTGCTAACCAGGAAAAAAAAATTCAATGCATTGGATCACCGAACTCGATATTTTTTTAATCAAATTTTGTTTTTATAACTTAATAAATATAAAAGAAATTTGATAAAAAAGGAAAAATTTATTTTCCTTTTTAACAAAAAAGAGCACCAAGTTAGGGATCTGCTAGTGCATTAAAGTTTTTCTCGCTAACCTGGGTAGAGTAACACTCAACCAAGTACAACTATGTCAGTTACACTTGTCTGAATCTGAACTTCAACAAACACCCCATTACTGCAAAACAATGTTTGGTTTCTCTTTCTTACTTCACCAAATCCAAATCCAAATAGAACCAAAGAACCTAGTTAAGACAAATAGAAAATGAAAAAGTAAACGATAACGCCTTCCCATTATATTATATGTTTTGATACCGTACCCTTCTTACCAACAATGCAACCATCCAATCATAAAAGTTTATGTTAATGAGAATTCCAGCTCTCTTTCATCATCATTCACAGGTCATAGCTGACTTTTTCAATTTCTTTTCAGAGTGTTCACACTTCATTCTTTTTTTTTTTTTTGTCTCTTTCAACTTTCTTCCTTGCTGTGAGATTCTCCTCTCTTATTCATCCTATGATCAACAACCTCTCAAAACTGCATGCTTTTTGACATAAAAGTTGGTGGGGGGTTTTGACTTTTGACTGAGAAATCTGCTTCATTAAGGTATTCATTGATTTTTCATTGCTTTTGCAGTAAGTTGGCCTCATTACATTATGCTTCAAATCTGTGTTCATAAGTACCCCTTTTAATCATTTTTAACATTCCCCATCCCCATTTTCTTATTTTTGTTTTATAGTTTGGAAATGTTGAAATCTTCATCTTGAAAAAAATAAAAATAAATAAAAATTTGAAGCCAATTGAGAATACTAGTTCCCTTATGATGCATTAAGTTCTTTCTGGCTTTGTCACTACTGTATAGTATTTGGCTTTTTAATACTGCACTTGTTACTTACTGCTTTATAATTTATATACTCCCCTTTCAAGTTTCATGTTAAATCGAATGATTTGATTTTGTTGATATGATACAGAAAAGTGTGTATTGAATGTTTTGTTAGTTTCATGAAAAATTACAGAATTATCAAGGAAACATGGCTAATTTTGAAGGCATTGAGCTGCCGGTGCTGTCAGAGACAGATGAAGAATCATATGATGCACCCCTGGATTCTAAATTCAGAAGTTTCGCATCCAAGACAAAAAGTGCATCATTTTCTATTCCTATGAGCTCCTTGGAGTCATATGGGAGAGAAACTAGTCTTGTGGGACATACTGGTCCACTTTTGAGAGAGAGAAAAACTCCTTTTATGCAGATGAGTGGTCCACTATATGATAACCGTGGAACTGGAAATATTTTGCAACAGAGAATAGCTGTAACAGGAGAAAAAGAAGAAGAGAGCAAGACAGAAAATTTTTCTACTTTCCGTAGCATAGGTTCAAGTTACTGGAACAACAACTATAATGATAAGAATGAACACTTAATGAGGTCAGGGCGACTAGGAATGTGTAATGATCCTTATTGTACTATTTGCCCCACTTACTTCAACCCTTCTAAGCCAAGAAATCCAAAAGTTTCCACTACATTTGATCCCAAGGTGTGTCTTGTCTTTCTTCCTAGAATAGACTATTATTTCAGTTGCCTTCAATTATATTGTGCATAGTCAAGCACTTTATTATTATTATTTTGTAGAAATGTGTTCATGCTATATATCTCTTTTCATGTTATAGACATGCTATATTTGTATTCATACTATTATGATCTACTATCACTTTCACATAAAAAATTTGTTCATATTTTGAATGTTTACAGTTCCGCAATGTTCTTTACGGCGATGCCAAAGGTTTTGCAAGAAAACTTTTTTCTTTCTGCTCTTCATGTGTTCCTGGAGTTATGAACCCTCACACAAAATTCGTACAAAAATGGAACAAGATTTTGGCTATTTGTTGCTTGGTGGCAATTTTTGTGGATCCTTTATTTTTCTTTGTACTCTATGTGGAGCAGGTATGATTCTTTACCTTTTATTTAATTACAATATCTTCCAAGTTCTAGTCACTTATCTTTTCCTGCTTCCATTTGCTAATTTACTCTGCATTTTTCGTGTTCATTGTATGTAGGATTATAATTGTATTGTTATCAACTGGAGATTGACAATAGCACTTGCTATTCTTAGAAGCATGAATGATTTTGTATATTTCTGTAACATTCTTCTCCAGGTAACCTTTCAATAATTACCTTTGTTAAAATCATCCCCCACACAATTATATTCATAGAAATGAAATCATTAATTGGCACAGATGATGAATAGGCTGAGCTATAACCTATTGATAGTATTAAGTGGTGTTGCATCTCTTTACTTATGTATATCTTGCTTCGTTATTGTTTAGTAGTTTAGGCCAAAAGAAAAGTGCAGTTATCCTGAATCTAAAATATGGTTTCTAAGTTTTAAAGTCTAATTTGCTGCCTTTTCATAATTTAAAGGTTAAATAACTCTACCAAGTTGCTTCTTTGCAGTTTAGGTTGGCTTATGTTTCTCCTGAGTCGAGAGTGGTTGGTGCTGGAGATTTAGTTGACCAACCTAAGAAAATTGCTCTTAATTACTTGAAGAGTTATTTTCTTTTTGACTTATTTGTTGTAGTTCCTCTACCTCAGGTAAATCTCTTCCCATCTCCCTTTCTTCCATATGTAAACTTTTTTTTTGTCTTTCACATTGTGACTTAGTATTTTGGGTATCCATTGTCAATCTATTAACAATTGTTCATAAAGGCTTTCATACCTTGTCAAAAATTAATTATTCTAAGCTTAAGCTGTTATTTATGGGCTAGAAATTTTTTTTATCTTCCATGCTGTGGCAGTGTAATGCTTAAAAACATAGGATTTTGTTGACTTCATTTTATATTTATCTTTATAAACTGCTGCTTGTTCTATGTCATCATCTTAATGTTTGAAGTTACCACAATGTTTTCTCCTTTTGGTACGTCATTCTGATTTCTGAGGAATAACTTGTCCCCGGACTTGAACATGTGCTTGAGAAGAAGGAAAGGGTTTTCAATCTGTGAAAAGGATAGAAGCCATTTGGGTTTATGTACTCACCAAACTCCTTGTCATGACATATATAGTGAAATATGTGCAGATAATGATATTGGTTGTCTTGCCAAATTCCTTGGGGGGAGCAAATTCTGCTAAGAATCTTCTGCGAGCATCAATCCTGGTGCAATATATTCCCAGATTATTCAGGTTTCTGCCACTGCTAATTGGCCAGTCTCCAACAGGATTCATATTTGAGTCAGCCTGGGCAAATTTCACAATAAATCTTCTCATTTTTATGCTATTTGGCCATGTTGTTGGCTCTTGCTGGTACCTCTTTGGTCTACAGGTTAGTAACATTTAAACTTCCTTTTTCAAAAATACCAAATTGCTTCCTCACTAAATTTCATGATTTGCTATAAATTATCAACTTGCTTGCAAGCTCCCATTTATTTTCAATTGTGCTCAGAAAGTCCACAATATTTAATTATTCATTAATATAATGAAGGTGGTGAGGATTAAACTTGTGACCACTTAGTCACGGAAGCTCTGATACCATGTAAATAACCTATTTAATCCAAAAGCTTAAACTATCAGGTGAATGCCACATTAATGGTTTTATATTATATTTCTTTGACAAGAAAAAAGCGGAAGACATAATACTTGATTCATTTGAATGCGTCTGATTTCCATGTGGTTGTATATATTATAATAATATGTAATGAGATTTATAGGCAAGTTGAAATGCTTTGTCAACATGGTAGTAATATGTGCTCAGAAATTTAATCCTTCTAATTGTTACTGCAATGTTGTCAATGAAATTCAACTATCAAAGTTATTGTGTTTTGTTGGATGCTTTGAAGATGAGTGGTTCAATTTGAATTAGGAATTTAATTGAGTAAATGAATGTTAATTAACATTCAATTTACTAACTTTCTGGTTTTCTTCCGCTTCATTCTTCCAGAGGGTTAATCAATGTTTGCGAGATGCGTGCCGTAATTCTAATATACCTGGATGCCTGAAATTGATTGATTGTGGGCGTGGCTATGATGGAAACAATCAAGCTGGCCTAACATCAGCTCAATGGAACAACAACACAGATGCCATTAATTGTTTGAATCCCACTACCAGTAGTGGTTTCCCTTCCACTGGTGGTGATTTTAATTATGGGATCTATTTTCCTGCTGTACAACTTATTACAGAAAATAATGTGATCAACAAATACGTGTTTTCTTTGTTTTGGGGATTCCAGGTATGCATTTCATTCTTTAACTTTTCTTTTGTTCCTTCTAGTAGTAATTTTGTATATATATATATATAGTGACTATGGAATGACATTGATGGAAATTTTGTCGCATATACACCATTCATTAGCTCATTGTAGGAAATGATTTTGATCAATTTGACCATTGAAATAAAACTATTTTTATGCTAATCTAGCATAAATATTAGAAAGTTCATATAAAAAAATTACAAAAGCATGTGATGTATAATGGTTTTTGTAATTATTTGAAGAACATATTATATGCTAATTTTAAGATAATAGATGCTTGTGCACTTGGTCATAGATGCTTTGATATCTTGTCAATTGTGAATGTTAAGTGAAAGCAAAGAAATGATTTGATATCAACATCAACAACACTTTTTTTCCGAACTAGTTGGGTGGCAGATGAATCCAAACGAAAAGCACGAAAAGATTCACGAAAATAAATGATTTGATATCTCTAATAATTTTACCTGGTGTGATCTTTATGCAGCAAATCAGTGTTTTTGCTGGTAATATGGTCCCTAGCTATTTTGTGGGGGAAGTCCTTTTTACTATTGCCATCATAGGATTGGGACTCTTACTTTTAGCTCTTCTCATTGGGAACTTTCAGAACTTTATTCAGTCTCTTGGACGCAGGTAAAACTTGTCTAGCTCTGCATGTTTCAATTAGACTTTAATAGTCAAAATTCTAATGCATTTAGTGTAACAATACACTATTTATATTTTCTTCCATACGTTTATAGGAGGCTAGAAATGCAACTTAGAGCAAGTGATGTTGAGCAATGGATGAGCCATAGGCGCTTACCAGGAGAACTAAGAAGGTACATGATTTTCTCATTCTTTTCATGAATCACATCCACATTGCCAAAAAAAATATATTTGTCAATGTACATGAGAAATTTACTTTTCTGGACACTTCTTTTAGATTTTAAAGAGATGCAAAATATTGTATAGTATTGCATGTCTATAGACTATAGGCCTGAAAGCTAAGATAAGAATATGTCAACTTTTTGTCATTTTTATTTTGGTTATTATGTCACATTAAATTATGGATCATACATAATGTACAAGTGATAGATACTATGTCTGATATGCAGGAGAGTACGACTGGCTGAACGGTATAATTGGGCTGCAACAAGAGGTGTGAATGAAGAAATGCTTCTTGAGAATTTGCCAGAAGATCTCCAGAGAGACATAAGACGTCATCTCTTCAGCTTTGTTAAGAAAGTATGCACTTGAATATCTGTGGTATAAATTACTAGTTATAATTACACCAATTTATAGTGCTTAATCTTTTGAGTATATTGTAGTTAAGTTGTTTAGATGTTAGTTGAGCTTCAAAATCTCAGCCTTTATGTTTCATTTAAAAATCTACTTTCCTTGAGTATTTACTTGTAACATGCTAGAATTAGATAGATGTTTCAGTGTGAAAACTACTTTGAAGGAAAAGCTTTATGCATCTTCATCATGAAACTAAAACAATGATATATTGAAAACCAAAGTATGTTAGACAATACTGAATTTTCTGTGTAATGATGATTTAAGTAGTCTTTTATACGTTGTACCAATTTGTGTCCATATTCTGAGGATCTAAAATGTCTGCAGGTTCGAGTTTTTGCCATGATGGATGAGCCTATCTTGGATTCCATTTGTGAGAGACTAAGACAAAAGACATACATCAAAGGGAGTATGATTTTGCGTCAAGGTGGTCTGGTAGAGAATATGATATTTGTGGTGCGTGGGAAATTGGAGAGCATAGGAGAAGATGGAACTAGAGTTCCCTTATCAGAAGGAGATGCTTGTGGTGAAGAACTTCTGAGATGGTATCTTGAACATTCTTCAGTCAGCTCAGGTATGGCAATCCTTGACAAGATATTCCTGTCAAATATTTTGTCAGCTGGTGTTGCAATGATCATTGATCAGAAATTCGGCCTCTATAAAACAAGCAAATAGTGTGGTTCATCAATATATCTCATGTTGCATGAAATAATCATATCCTTTCTGTTGTGGACCGAACACATTAGTCCAAAACTTGTGGTCCCATATAAGGGGTTACACCCCGGCATCCCTAAAGTGAGACTTTTAAACTCTTATTGTAGAGAATCTTACTTTCCTACACAGTACACCTTACACCTCTCGCATCAGGTGAGTGTGTTTGCCTTACACATAGCGGGCCCATAACGGCAAAATAGTTATGGCTTATCACTGGGGATATTTTCCACCTATATGCACCCCACTTCAGCTATAGAGGAGACACCTTTTACACACTCATTGCAAATTGTTATGCTACAGAATTGCTACCATACAGCCACCGCACTTTCCACATTCTCCAATTGCTCTCAGCCTTGGCATGAGATATTACTCAGGGTGACTCTCCATTGAGCTTAGGTTCATATCTCTACCTCATTGATCACTGTTACATTGACATACTACACCCCATCAAAGGAAACATATTCATCTCCTAGCACCCAAACAGTTCACTTTCATTGTAATTATCATTATTTCTACTTATTCCCTTCTCTCTTTTCACCATTATTTCAATTTATTTCTTTCCTTATAATATTTATTTTCATGTAAAAATAATAGTCAAAAGTCTTGTATATCTATAGCCTTGCAAAGTATGTGCAAAGTAATACAGAATTAAGATATCACTCAAATAGTTTTTACTCCTTTCTTCCTTCTCTATCTTCTAATATTTTACAAAGTAAGGTGAGTGTGACTTTATTATGGTATCAATATAATTTCTGCTGCAGATGGTAGAAAAGTAAGGCTTCCAGGACAGAGGTTGCTTAGCAACAGGACAATAATCTGCTTAACAAATGTGGAAGCCTTTTCACTAAGAGCTGCTGACCTTGAAGAAGTCACAATCCTTTTTACAAGGTTCTTGAGGAGTCCACTAGTTCAAGGAGCCATAAGGTCATTCATTCTCTTGTCTTTGTTGTATGGGAAAAATGTTTCCGCAGTTAATGCAGAGAAGTTATCTGCATTTATTCCCAAAACGACGTCGTTTTGGTATTGAAATCTTAAAAAATTATAAATATAAACACTATTATAACCCTAAAATAAATTAAAATTACAAAAACACCATGATTTCCGTCCTAAAACGACGTCGTATTGACTTATAACTTATCTGCAATAACTGCAGAAAAAGCGAACCCTTGTTGTATATGCATTTATGGTTCAGCATAATCTTCTTAAGATTGATACAATGGTTTGATAATTGTGTTATGTTGTTAGGTATGAATCACCTTATTGGAGATCACTTGCAGCAGCCCGGATTCAAGTTGCATGGAGATACAGGAAGAAACGTCTAACTCGTGATAATTCCTCACTATCAGATTAAACCTTAATTGTTATATCTGATTTGCTACACAGCATTTAATGAAGTTCAACAAAGGTGTCCTTTTGTAATTAGATGATAAAGGGCAAATGCTTTAAAATTTAAGGTTTAGGTATATACTTACACTTGATATGCCTCTAAATTATAAGAAAGGGAAAAGTTCAAAATCCTTCCTATGGTATCCCTTTTTTTCTTTTTCTTTTTTAGAAAAGTTCAAAAACCATCTTATGATATTGCTTTGAATCACTTATACTCCTGTTTTTAATTTTAATCACTTAATCCCTTGTGATTTTTTTCATCCACACCCCTCCTTAACACTATTAGAAACTTGACTAAATATACATATTTTATCCTTCTTAGAAGAAGAAAATAGAGTGACAAAAAAAATAAAAAAATAAGACCAAATGATATGAAAACTTAGAACACTTAATAAAAGACTAACAGAAAAAAAAAAAAAAGGATCAAATGTGTTTAAATAAGAAAAAAATGATTAAGGACAAAAAAAATAGAACAAAAAATAAGACCAAATATGTTTTAAATCACAATAGTGACAGAGAAGATTAAAATTGAAAAAAATAAAATAGTCTAAATAAAAAAAATAGAACAAAAATTTAAAATAAAAAAGAAATAGAACAAAAGAGATTACTGTCATGAGTTTCCAATATATTTGGTTTTATTTTTTTTTCTTTTTTGTTCTTGGTCTATTTTATTCTTTTTTATTTAGATATGTTTGGTTTTTTTTTCTTCTTTCTTTTTTTGCTTAATTATTATTTTTATTTAGACACATTTGGATATTTTTTCTTTTAATTTTTTATTAAGTGTTCTAAGTTTTCATAACATTTGGTTTTTTTTTTGTCACTCTATTTTCTTCTTCTAATAAGGGTAAAATAGATATATTTAATTAAGTTTCTAAATATGTTAATAAGAGGTGTGGATGAAAAAATCAGAGGGGGTTAAGTAATTAAAAATAAAGCATAGGGGTGTAAGTGATTTGAAACAATACCATATGGGGTTTTTGAACATCCCCCTCCTTTTTTTGGAGATATTTCAATTGATTCATCGCTTCGCGACTAATTCGATTCAGGGCAAGTCCCGTGATTAAGCCTCCCAAAGACGGTATTTTTTATTTAGACACATTTGGATATTTTTTCTTTTAATTTTTTATTAAGTGTTCTAAGTTTTCATAACATTTGGTTTTTTTTTTGTCACTCTATTTTCTTCTTCTAAGAAGGGTAAAATAGATATATTTAATTAAGTTTCTAAATATGTTAATAAGAGGTGTGGATGAAAAAATCAGAGGGGGTTAAGTAATTAAAAATAAAGCATAGGGGTGTAAGTGATTCGAAACAATACCATATGGGGTTTTTGAACATCCCCTCCTTTTTTTGGAGATATTTCAATTGATTCATCGCTTCGCGACTAATTCGATTCAGGGCAAGTCCCGTGATTAAGCCTCCCAAAGACGGTATTTTTTATTTAGACACATTTGGATATTTTTTCTTTTAATTTTTTATTAAGTGTTCTAAGTTTTCATAACATTTGGTTTTTTTTTTGTCACTCTATTTTCTTCTTCTAAGAAGGGTAAAATAGATATATTTAATTAAGTTTCTAAATATGTTAATAAGAGGTGTGGATGAAAAAATCAGAGGGGGTTAAGTAATTAAAAATAAAGCATAGGGGTGTAAGTGATTCGAAGCAATACCATATGGGGTTTTTGAACATCCCCCTCCTTTTTTTGGAGATATTTCAATTGATTCATCGCTTCGCGACTAATTCGATTCGGGGCAAGTCCCGTGATTAAGCCTCCCAAAGACGGTATTCGGGAGGATCAAACACATGCTCCCCCCCCCAGCACTAACTGAACTATCATCATTTGATCCTATGATATTCCTTTGAATCAGTTAGCCCCCTATTTTTTCTTTAATCACTTATACTCATGTGATTTTTTTCCCTACAAGTCCTTACTTAAAATTGTTAAAAATTTGATAAATTTGATAAATTTATATCATTGTCCTCAAGCTTTGCAAGAATTTCTAACAATACAACCAAATTTTCTTTCACTATCCAGTTTTTGAAAAAAATTGTGAAGTGTCACATGACTTGTGATAAGAATATAAAAAGCAAATGCAATGAGCTTTTAATCAAAGTAATTTTTATTAAAAATAAAATTTACAAAATGAACCAAATGGCAAAGGCCAAAAGCAAAATTTTAACCAAATGCTTTTTCAAAAATTGTAAATTATGAAATGCAAATTTCCTTTCCTTTTCTCTTTCTATGTACAGCTCTCCCCTCCCCCATCGGTTGTAGTACAAAATTTCAAGTTATTACTTTGTTGTTTACTTCTTGAGCAATAGGATGAATATGAGTATGCAATTGTGCTTGTTGTGCCTTTCCATGCTTGCAATGGAAAAGACCCACCTGTTAAACTTTTAAATGAGATGATGGGACCAATTGTTACTTTAATTTAATTTTGTGATGTTTGTTTAATTGCTCTTAACTTGTTTGATATTATGCCTTCCTTTTGAACTATGCTTGATAATCAGATTTTCTATCAGCGTCTTGTTGGGATTTGAGTGGAGATCAGAATAGTAGACCATACTTTGTTTTTGGTGTTAAAGTTGTGATGACATCTGGCTTGTTGCCTCATTGCCAAATGAGAAGGTAACAAAGTGATGTAAAATAAATAGGATTGTTTGTTTAGAGGCTGAACTTTGGTGCTCCAAGGAAAAATAGAGAATGTAAAGGGAGTTGATAAATTTTGTTTGCAAAACTTGGGAAGAAGATGAAAAGGTAGCTGAAGTGGGTAGAATAGTCATATTAATTAAAAAATTTAATATTATTAAAGAGGGATTTAGATGAAAAAAAACACAAGGATAAATGATAAAAAATAAATAAAAATAGGAGAGTAAGTGATTCAAAAGTAAACTACATGGAGACATTTGAAGTTTGAACTTTTCCCTATAAGAAATGTGTAACATCTCCGGCATTAATAATTAATTAAGTAAATCGCCGATTTGTTTTGTGAAAGATTTGTTGTATATAATATTAATTCTTAAGAGATTAAAATTCACTTTGGGGTCCATGAAAATCAATTTGTTATTCAAGTCCGCTCAACCATTAAATTTGTTCTTTGTTGAATTTCACCTCCTATAATAGATTTGACGTGTTTAAATTGAACTTAATTGATGAACCGATATATATATATATATATATATATATATATATATATATATATATATATATATATATATGGAAAAATATTTCTCAAGCAGCTTGAGATAAGTTTATCTCCAGCTACTCAAAAACTACGTCATTTTATTTATTTATTTATTTATTTATTTATATTAATTGATTCACTTTTGAATTATTATGATTTTTTTTCTCTCTCTTCCTTCATCACCATTGATCCGTCTTTGTATAGTTACGATTTAGTAACCGGAGATAAAATTATCTCAAACAGCTTGAGAAACGATAAGTTCATATATGTATTCCCATATAACTAGAGAACTATTCCCCGTCCTGCATACACAAGTTTTGAGTAGCAACCATTATTAATAAAAAGGAAAAAAAATTAAAACACTTCTCTTATAATATAACGGGAAGAAGTATGAAATCGTAAAAGAAAATGAATTTATAAACGACCCTTAGTGGGACTTATGTGATAGTAATGATATTATGTGAGTGAGGTGGCCAATGGTTGCCCATAGTGGGACAGAGTAACATTACTTTCTGAATCCTAATTTTTCAAAAATTCACAATTTGTTTTGTTCTTCATCTCCTTTCTTCATTGCAAAGTGTTTCGTCCCTTGGTCCAGCAAGCATTTTTTGAAATGGGTAAGTTTGAATGGAGTGATTCAAAAAATGTATTTTCTAATATCTTAAAGACTATAGATGTAACACCCCGTTCTAGAACCGGTTTGTTAACATCACATTATGATATTAAGCGCAGTTACAATCACATGGGTTCAATTAAAATCCGGATAAATTTTTCATTTTAAAACATGTTGAATTTATAATACCCAATTTCGTGATCATAACCGTATTACCTTGCGGAATCAGATAAATCAAGCTTAACATCATGTTCTTATTCCATCTTTAAACCATTAATTTACTTCCTATTTTTTTCACAACTTCTACTATATTGTAGATCTCTTCTTTAGCTACCCGTGGCTTCAAACCGCGCTCGAATCAGAGCACTGTAGCCCAAGTTATGACAATTTGAAGCAACACAAGAAGGTGTTGATCACAGGCCCCGCGCGCTTCAGCGCGCTGCCGGGCGCTCAAGCGCGCGTTATCGGGCGCTAAAGCCTCCATCTGGGAGCTTAAGCGCGCGGAGGTAGGAAGCATCAGTTCTTTCTGTGTAAATGGGCGCTTAAGCGCGCACCTGGGCGCTCAAGCGCTAAATCCTGGGCGCTTAAGCTCCCATTGGGACGTTTTAGCGCGCAGAGACAGAAGCATCTCCTCCTTCAGTGGCTAAGGGCGCTCAAGCGCGAACCAGGGCGCTCAAGCGCGCAACCCTGGGCGCTAAAACCCGCGGAGACAGTAAGCATCCCATCTTTCTGCAGCGAAGAGCGCTTAAGCGCAAACCAGGGCGCTCAAGCGCGCAATCCTGGGCGCTTAAGCCCCTACTTTGGGCGCTCCAGCGCGAGGAGGCCGAATGCATTGGCACTCACAGGGGCAGCAGGACGCTTGAGCGCGCTCCTGGGCGCTTAAGCGCGCTGCCAGGGAATTCCAATTCCCACATTTTTCAAATCCAAGTCTAGGGGAAGATGCATCCCCATTCCAAACCCCAATTGTCCATGCCCCAAAACTAAATCCTAGCACTCACCCAACCTCTCCTCGTGAGATTTAGCTAGAATTTGGGCAGCATAACCTTTGTTTTCTCAACGTTTCCCAATTTAAACAAAAGGTACCTAATTGATTCTCAGCCCAACCAATTCAATAACTCAATACATAACAAGCATGCATATATTGAATTCCAAGTAGGCATCATTTACAGTACATATTCCTTACAAATCATGGAACTTAGCTTACAAAACACTATGATCATTCCCTTGGCTCCCATCAACAAAAGAGATGACAAAAGGCATGAGCATAGGCTAAGTCCATTCCAATATACAATCATACATCTATCCATGGTCTATGAATTACAATCCTATACATGTGAGCTACAAAACAACATGTATAATATCAAAATATAGGATCCTCATGCATATGCTAATCCAGATATGGCCACTTGCCACTGGTGGCTCCTGCAGCATCCTTACCTGAAAGGGGGTCCCCACAACACGGGGTGAGATATACGAATATATCCAGTAAACCAGGGGTCCTTGGAGCATCTCTCCACCCCACAGTTCCATATCAGTGTAATAGCAATGTAATACCCCATATTTTCTTTTAATAAAATAATAATAATAATAATAATATAATAATAAATATTTTTGGATAATAATGATATTTAGTATTTTTGTAATTAATAATATTGGTATTTAATATTTTTAATTAATGAGTTAATAATAGTTAAAATAATAAGAGGTAAGATAATAATAGTAATATTATTTTATTTATGTGATAATATATAATTATATATATATATATATATATATATATATTAGATGATAAATTATGATTAATTGATTTATTAATTGATTGATGATTTATGTATTTATGTTTGATTAGTAATTTGTTTAGATATGATGAGTCAACAAACATAAATTGTTTAGATATGATGAGTCAGCATTGAGTCAGTAATGTGTAAGCCCTAAACTTCAACTATGAATAGAGGTCTAGCCTAACCAAACCAATTCACCCTTCAACATTTCTCCTCTACTATTCTCTCTTCTTAGTTCAAAAACTTAGTTTAATTTATTTTATACTCTTCTGGTTACCAACCGGTTCTCTGCCCCAAATTACTCTTTTCTTCTAGAAGTTAGCGAAAACGGAGACCAGGTAATCCTAATCTCTAGGTGGTTGTAGATTTGTTGTGTATGAAATTTTATTGGGTGTGTCCTAATCTTTCAGATAGTTATATGTTTGATGTATATGTAATCTTAATCCTTAGGAAATTTTAGAATGTTTTCATTTATTATATGTACCCTTAGGGTATTTAAATTAAATTATTTTAACCTCTATAAATTAATTGGATTAATTATTGGATTTTGGCTTTACCCTAATAGATGTGAATATTTGAATTTTGATTTGAAAAATTATGATATGATGATTGGACTTGAATTTTACCCCGGTAGATGTTGAATATGAAAATTATGATATTCTTGGATAATGGATTTGGAAATTATGATATTATTGAAAGATTTATTTTGGAAATTACAATCTTGATTAAATTGATGTGGAAATTATGAAAACTATTTGACAATTATGAGAATCGTGACAAGATTGAATTGATTGTATGTGATTGAATAAATTAATAGTGGGAGGATAGCTTTGGGATGGTACCTCCCAAGGTGATGAACACAACTTTTGGGCTTTATGCCTCCGATGTGAAACTGATGTGAAAAAGATTATATCCGTTCTTCCCAAAGTGGTATCTGGTAACGGTGGTTTTTTCCCGGGGTACTAGTAGCAACTTTGGAAAGAGGTGTGCACACTAGGAAGATGTGAATTGATTATGGCCAATTTTGATTATACGTGGCTGGTAACAGTGGTTTTTTCCCGGGTCACGGGATAGACTGGCAGGGTTTCCCGGGTCTACCATGGTTCTCTTCCCACTAAGTACAATGAACTTAAACATGATTAATAATGAAATGTTATTTGATTTGATTATGATGAATGTCATTGAGTTGTGAATATTACCATTTATGTAATATTATGATTAATGTTGTGCTGAACATGTTAGTTGATAAATTACCCTTACTAAATACAATAAATGGACTAAATAAAGATTAATATAATTAATAACGAGTTGATACTTGATTTGAATTTTTGAGTTATATTACTTGATTTAATTATTATGAGTTCTATTTATTTATTTATTTATTTTTGTATTTTGATTGGGATTACCAGCTTTGCTGACTGTTTGTGATTGTTTGACTGCAATGATCCTGCGGCTGCGGGGGAGCAGATTTTCAATAAATCAGGTGGCAAGGAATCGGGCTAGCAGTGGGCAGTGAGGATACGACTCAAGATTTCTAGCTGTCATAAATATTATGTATAAAAAAAAATTGTAGTCTTAGATTTTGATTTGAATGTATAGAGTTAGCCTTGCACTTGTCCCTGTACAGGTGCGGCGGTAACACTTCCCAAATTCGATTATTTTGAACTTCTGCTGTTATTTATAAAAATATTGAATTTATTTATGCTATTATAAATTGTCAGAATTTGGGGTGTTACAAGCAATAACAATAATAATGCAGTAAATACATATCTATGCAAAGTGCAATAACATCTCCAGGAGAAATCCCTCGGGCTCTCAAGCCGTCCTAAGGAAACTCAGATGCAAATAGTCCTACTGGCCAGCTAACTACCAAGTATGATTTACGCATCGTCATGCAACATACCAACATAGGGAAACATCATCCTATGCCACACCAAATGCATACACATACGTATAACAAAGCATTACACTATTTTATTGCATTTATATACACAATCACAACCTCTACCCTTTCAGGGCTTGGTGGAACAGTCAAGGGAATTACACCCAAGGTCCGAAGGCTTACCTCAAGCTTCAATTCGACCTTTGTTCATCACCGACAGTTTCAGCAGCCAATTACAATAATCACTCTTCTCAAACAAAACCTACACAAGGTTTAATGCAATTAACACATATTGCATCCAATAACATCTCATAGCTATCAACCAAGCTATACAATTCATACCAAACATAAGCATGAACTCACCTATCCAATGGAGCTAATCAAGCTCCATAGCTTGCTCCAATGGTTGATCACTTACGGTTGGTCCAAATGCCTCAATCCTAGACATCATTAGGACACAATCATCAATCAACCAAGCCATACCATTTATCAACAATGCAAGAAATCCAATATCTAAGTGTCATATTCTTGCCATTTTCCAAATATACTCATTTTCACCGATTAAACGTCGTTCCTAGCATTTTTCACAACATGCTCTAAGCTCCATTCTTCCTAGAACATAGCTAATTTAACAATATTTCATCAAAATCTCAATTTACTATTCATTGAACCCTAACTCATGCAATTTTCCATGAAAATAAGATTCAAGGGGTAGAATCTTACCACCAATGGTTACACAACCAAGCAAGGAGCGTTCCTCAAGCTCCCATGGAGGTAGAAATTCCCAAAACTCCAAAATCTCACAAAGGGCCGAATTTTTTGAGAGGCAATATCTCTCTCCACAATGCTCCCCACTCCAAACAAGGCTGGGATTATGAAAGATGGGAAGATTTATAGTAGTTTAGGCTTTTGAATCACTCCAATCGGTTAAGGATTGTTCCATCTAGGTTCTCTCTCCCTCTTCTCCTTCCTTTCTCTCTTCTTCCTCTCTTCTTCTTTCTGGTGCTGGCGACGGGAAAATGGGGTGGGAGATGGGTTCTTTTGGTTCAAATCGCTTAACATAAGTTAAGTGGTAACATGTGAGTATTGGTTCGTCTATCTATTCGACTTCATTAATTACCAAACTTTACTCAAAAGTCTGGAATATTATTCTAGGAATATTTATAATTTTATTTTTATATTTTGGGCACTTTCGCCATACCCATTTATACCCCTTAATTTTCACTGAGTACACTTTTTAACTCCAAAGTGACTCAGATTCATTTAATTAAGCCTCATACTTAATTTTACTCACTAAAACATGCTCAATTATTTAATTACTATGCTATTTGCTAATTAATTAGGTTAGACTATTATAATAGAAATAACGTGTTTGGATAGAGAATAAAAAAATAACAACCTAATTTATCTAAAAAGTTTCACAGTACCTAAATATTAAATTTTGTTGTTTGACATGTGATAACAACGTAATATTACCCTTTTTTTTTTACAAAAAAGTAAATCTTAATATATTTCAAATTTATTTTAATAATACTGTGACTATTATTTATCCATTAAAAAAAGATATTCATTTAATTATTACGATAAATTATAGGGTTAATTCTATTTGTTCATTTATCTCCCAATAATCATTGGTGCACATGACTCCGAAGGAAGGAAAGGTTGAAGTCATGATTTTATTCCATGCATAATTCTTTTGACAAATTTTTACTAATTTAATATGAAAACACATATATTCTGACAATGTTTATTCATCCATTTTGAAAGCCTACTTGGGTATTCAACATTTAATAAAATAAATAAGAATTGAATTTTTTGCAATGAAAAAGTAAATAAAATGTGATTTGTGCAAAAATTAAAATATATCTATAAGATGTCTTGCTTTGCAAGATGTACATGCAGAGCATACGCAACTTAAATGCACATTATCAAAATATGCATCTTGTATTACATTGACTTTTTCCCAAATCAAGATGGAGATGATTTGCGATTTAAATACGCACATTCCGTAAATATTTCACTCACATTATATTAATAAATAATTTATATATAAAAAAAATTGAACCCGTGAAATATTTATATTTTTGTACTGTATCAGTCATAAAGCCTTTAATTGAAGAATGCTACAAATAAGACATTATAATTGGTCTAATAATGAGTAATTTAAGTAGTTTGTATTATATTATATGTTGAATTTTCACTATTATAAAAAAAAAAAAAAAAAAAAGAATGCTACAAATTGAGTGGTCCACATCCATAAGAAAAAGCTAAATGGAATCACATAGAATAATTTTGATGTTCGTCTGAAGAGAAGTCACGTTAGCCAAGGTCTTAAGTACTTTACAGTTCAACTATTGCATCCCTAATAATTAATTAAATATATTTTTTTAATGAAATAATATATTATTTAAAATATATATATATAACACTAGTTAGTTGTTAGTACTTGGTGCCTTCCTGGAAGTTTCTAGGAAGTTTTACTTGTCTCTTCCAAATTAAGCTCACAAGACTATCCAATTTTCATCTTTTATTGTCAAACAAAAGGAATAATAAATTATGATTGAAAAAGAGAAGAAACCGTTTCTAGAAGTTGAACCTTGACTAAATGACTACACTTTTTCTACTCTCTCAACCTATTTTTATCATCAAATTGAAATCAATGGCCAGTGATGGTGGGAGTTTAAAACTCTTCTAAGTTAATTCCTCTTTTATATATATATATATATATATATATGAGGTAAACATTTCTGTAGCCACTTCAGTTAAGATTATATACAGCTACCTCAAAAACTACGTCATTTTGATTAATGCAGAGTGTTTCTGTAATTTTAGGTGAGATAATGAAGAGTGTTTCAGTCATTTTGTTTATTTTTTTATCACATACTTTTACTGAAATACCCTTTATTAATTCACCTAAAATTACATAAACACCCTTCATTAATCAAAACGACGTAGTTTTTGAGGTAGCTGTAGATAACCTTATCTAAAGTGGTTGTAAAATTTTTTTTCCTATATATATATCTCTTTTTTTCTGCAGTTAATGTAGATAATTTATTAAGCCCAAAACAACGTCGTTTTGGGGTGAAAATCAATATATTTTTGTATAATTTATTTTAGGGTTATAATAGTCTTTCTCGTTATAATTTTTTAATCTTTCAACTTTTGTATAATTTATTTTAGAGTTATAATAGTCTTTCTCGTTATAATTTTTTTATCTTTCAACTCAAAACGACGTCGTTTTGGGAGTGAATGTAGATAAATTATCTACATTCACTGTAAAAACGTTAAAGCCATATATATATATAATTGTATGAGGTCCATATTTTGTTTTTTTCTACCTTCTTCTTACATGAGCCTCACACACTTTTATAACATAAAAGTAGAAAAAAAAAGAAGGTAGAAAAAAAGAAAATATGGACCTCATACAATTATATATATATATATATATATATATATATATATATATATTCTTTTTGTATAGACAACATTACATTATTAGAAAAACACACACAAAATAAAAAATATTTAAAGTTTCTTATATTATATCAGATAATTTTATCTCTTTCACTCACATAAAAATATGTGAAGGCCCATGAGGGATCATATGACGAGAAGAGAAAGAGAAAAAAAAATAGGCTATATATATAAGAGATATTTTTATCTCCTATAATATAAGAGATATTAAAAAAAACTATTATCGCCTAATTCAACTATCTTCTGTTCATTTTTTACCAGATATTTTGTAGTTATAATTTATCAATTAAAATAAATATTTTTTAATTGTTTATAAATTATACATAGATGTTCGATTAACTAGACATGTGACTCTGCATTCATTTAATATAATTTGATAGGAGACTATGACCACTTTTTTTTTAGTTAACACGGTCTTAATTACTTCTTTTAGGTGAGTTGATTATTCATGTATTCTTATAAATTTTGACTCTTTAAGCCGACTATGAAACTAATCTGGAGTGCAGGGTAGGTCAGAGATGAAGATATTTAAACTCTTTTCAAAAGTGGCATGTGAGGAACAAACGAGGCCATTTTTTTTCCACTTGCTCATCTCTCTTACCATCAACTGAGCTACCACCATTTGGTACTATAACCACTTCTACCTCTAACCCACAATTAACTTATTACTACTTTTAAGGCCTGTTGATAAGGGTGTGCAAAATAAACAAAAAATTGAACTGAACCATGAACTGAATCGAATTGCACTTAAAATAATCAATTTTTAAAAATCAGTTCATGAACCGAACCAATTTTTACAGAAACAGTTCATGAACCTAACTGGTTTTTAAAACCAGCTCAAGAACCGAACCATTTTCGAATCAAACCGAACCGAACCGAATCGCTTTTTATTACTTTATTTCTTTATTTTTTTAAAACTTTTTTATTTCAGAAGAGGGTCGACCCGAACCAATTCCAAACTGAACCGAACCATTTTCAACCGAACCATTCTCGATCAAACCGAACAGGTTTTGAACCGAACCGAACTGTTTAAACCAATTCGGTTTGGTTTTTCAAAATATTCAATTCAATTCACCCCATGCACACCCCATTGTCGATGACCCATCGTGGATCACTACGGCATTCAGATATAATATTTATATAAGTGTATATTTCATGGGTTTGATGTTTTTCATATAATATGATATAAAATTATCTCGTGTGTGTGTGTGTGAAAAAAAAAGGATCTCAAGTACTTTTATGTATATAGGAGATAATTTTATTTATCAGAAGATAAGAGTCATTTAAATTAAATCCATATTTTATTTTGCACGAGTTTATTTTAAAAAAAAAAAACTATAGTTGATAATCATCATTTTCAATAGGATCCATATATTTGTTATGTGTGTAGATTTCTCATATTTAACTCTAATTCTATTTGTTCATTTGACTCCCAATAATCATTGATGCACATGGCTCTGAATGAAGTAAAGGTTCGAGTCATGAATTTATTGAGGTTTTTTAACCCATGCAAAGCAGAAGGAAAGGTATATTACTTGTTTAATTTTTTTTATAAATTATTTATTAATTTTATGCGAAAAGATATATATCCGGGCAATGCTCGTTTACGCGTGACTTATGCAAAAGTTAAAATATACTTGCTATTGTTATAAAAAAAAAATATATATATATACTTGCTATATGTCCTGCTCTGCTAAACACATCTGGGAAGCATGCGCAACTTGAATACTCAAGGTATGCATCTTGTATTGTGCTAATTTTGCACAAATCAAGACAAAGATTATGTGCGATTTAAATATGCACGCTCTTTATACATATTTACTCGCATTACATTAATAAATAATTTATCAAAAGACTTGTGAAATATTTGTATTTTTGTATTGTGAAATATTTTGTATTTTTGTATTGTATCGGTCAAAAAGTCTTTAATTGAACAATGCCTCAAATTGAGTGGGGGGCACATTCACAAGAAAAAGCCAAATGGAATCACATGGAATAATTTTGGTGTTCGTCTAAAGAGAAGTCACGTTAGACAAGGTCTCAAGTACTTTATAGTTAAACTACTGAATTACCCGTGCAATTCTCAGAGAAAAAAGAACGAAATTATTTTCGCCGTCGTTGGTTAAGCATCGCACCGGTAAATCAACACCTTCATCTTACTATCAAGCTCTGAATGGTATAATGGTGGAGGTATAAACATAAAGGAACAAAAAACAAAAAAACAAACATGTTACTTGAGAAATATCTAAAATAAAAAAGAATTGTCTTGCTATTTTGTTTTATTTTTGAACTTCAAAAGGCTACAATATTCACGCAGTAAGTTAATGCAAATTTTAAATAAAAGTGTTAAATAAAATTTTGTAAGACAAAACATATAATTGTATCATGTAATGTACAAATAATAATGAGACACTGTTAAACAATTATTTACACAAATTTAAGTGTCGATGACTAACCTCCACCTGCACTTGGAAAAACGATTAAACTTATTCTACTTAAGTGTGAACACAAAGTGGCAATGATAAACT